GTACAAGAACTTCCCAGGATGATATCAGACAACATGCCAATGTGAATTGGGGAAAATTTCACACTTAGATGAAGAATTATAGACAGTCAATGGCTGGGAAAATTAGTTGCCTTCAGGGACCAACTCCCCTGATAGGTTTCCCAATCCTAAATGGTCATCCCTAGACACATAAACACACATTAATTAGACTCAGTAGATTGTGAGTGTACACATATATACACATACATATGTGTACATTTATGATTATAGAAGAGGTCAAGAATTAGAGAGGGTTATGAAGGACGTGGGAGGAGTTGGAAGGGGAAGAGAAAGGTGCAGAAATCATTCAAATACAGTGTATTCATGTATGACATTCTTTAAAAAAATTAAAATTAAAAAATTGGTCTTGCAACAACTGAATGTACCAGGCTTTGCTGACTCCCCATGGGAGGCCTTACCCTTTTGGAGGAGGGGTTGGGGGATGGATGGAGGGTGTACAGAGGCTTGGGGGGGAAGTAGGAGGAGGGATAAGAGGGGGATTTGTGGTTGGTATGTAAAGTGAATAAAATAGTTTTAAACAAAATAAATAAAATTTTAAAGTTGGTATGTAGGTAAAATTAAAGATGATTTATCATAAATGATGTTTTAAAATTAGTAAGTAAAGCCTGGCAGTGGGGGTGAATGCCTTTAATCTCAGCTCTCAGGAGGCAGAGGCAGGCAGATCTCTGTCAAATGAGGCCAGCATGATCTACAGAGTGAGTTCCAGGACAGCTGAAGCAGAGAAACTCTGTCTCGATAAACAAACAAAACAAAATTGATAAGTAAAAATAAAAATAACAATTGTGATCCACAGACCCGCCTGGTGCCTTATGGGTCAGGCAGGCGAAAGATACCCATGGAGCAGCCTGGATCATCAGGGTCTGGGCTGCATGAAGCATCCATAGGCCTGTCCCCTGATGCCAGGCAGCTCAGGCGGGGGAAAGATACCCACAAAGTAGCCAGCATCCTCACATCCAGCCTTCCTGAAACACCCACATGTGTACTGGGCACCACAAGGAACCATGCAGTTGTATGTCAGTATGATGAGCAAGTATATGGTGGTGAAATATGAGAGAGAGGCAGAATAGTTCGTTGGCTATAGTAAGAGGCAGTTCTGAAGAAGCGAGGACTATGAGGAATGGGCAGATGTTGGGTGGCCTTCTTGACACCATGAACCAGAGTGACACCTAAGCCTGGACTGCTGCCAGAGCCATATCTGAGTCTGTGATAGGCAGGGTCTACATTGATGTCCATGACCCACGTTACCACCCAGGCCACGGGGATGCCCAGAGTATAGGCTACCACCTGTGGCCACTGTGATGTCCATGGGCCGTGCCACCACCACCAGGGCCATGTTGATCTGAGTGGCCTGTGCTGCCACCCAGGTGACGTGATGACATCAGGCCTGGGTTGCTGTTGGGGGCCATGTCTGGGTCCATGCCCCCACAGCAGCCAGGGTCCGTCAGTAATGACTGATGGCTGTGCTGATGACTGGGTTCTTCTCAAACACCTGAGTCCGTGCTGGTCTCCGAGGGCCATGCTTCCACTGGAGCCATGCTAATCTGGATGCCTATGCTGCCACCTGAAGGCCAAGGTGACATGCGAGACTGGACTACAGTGAGGGGCTATGTCTGGGTCTGGTCTGAAGCCCTACCCTAGCCAGGGTCTGTGTTGATGTCCATGGCTCCTGATAACATTGAAGGCAATGCCAGGGCTCTGTGCTGCCACCTAGGGCCATGTTGGTATTGGAAGGCCACACTGCCTCGGGTCGGGGTTGCATGCTGATCAGAGTGGCCTGAACTGCCACCTGGGGCCATGGTGATATCCAAGCCTGGGCTGTGGCCTGAGACCATGTCTGGGTCTATAGTCCTAGCAGTCAGGGGTCAGTGACGCTCATGGCTTGTGGTGTCACCAAAGACCACACGGATGCCCAGGGTCTAGGCTGCATCCTGTGGCCATGTGGGTGTTTGAGGGCTGTACTGCCCCTGGGGCCATTGTGTCATCTGTGCCAGGGCTGCTGCTGAGGGCAACATCTGGGTCTATGGCCTAACAGCAGCCAGGGTCTGGGCTGATGTCCATGGCTCATGTTGCCATGGGGGTGGGGGTGGCCAGTGTTGGGGGCCATCACAGAAACCATGCCTGTTGAATTCCAAGGGCCGTGCTGAGCCAACCATGTCCCTCACTGGCCCTGGGATAGCTTGCCCTGCCCCTCACTGGATACTGTAGCAGAACTGGTTATCCCCACCACCACCACCCTATGGGAGAGCTGACACCAGGACTCCCAAGAGATGGCCCCATCCCTCACCATAGGTGTGGGAGAGCTGGCTCCTGATGGCATGGGCCTAGGAGAGTTGGCTCTGTCCCTCATCTGAGGGGGTGATCCCAGTGGTCCAGACTGACCAGCTCAACTTCCACCCAGACCCACGTCCTTGGGTTGGCCCACCCTGGCAGCTGCCCTGTCTTTGACCTGCTGGAGTGCACAAAGGGACTGGGTTCTGCAGAATGGTAACCGCAGAATCTCCACCACTTGGGGCAACAACAGGATAGCCAAGAGGAGTTTCAGTTGAGGGCCCAGCCCAATGATAGTGGTGTACCAGAAACCAGAGGCCTTGAACCAGACTAATGACTCACTGGAATGAACATTTGGGGCTGACTGGAAAAAAGGGCTAAATTGTGTAATACACCAAAGCTCTCAATTCCACTAGGATGAATGAAGAAGTGTTGGAAAGATGGAGGACTGAGGTGTTTTGTACATACTACAGGGGTAAGGGGTAGATATGGAGGGATTGGGAGGTGAATGGGATTGGGGTGCATGATGTGAAATTTCCAAGGACTTGATAAAGAATTTTGCTTAAAATAAAAAAGAATATAGTTTCATACCTTATTATAGTTTAAATATTAAACAAATAATAATTGTACAAATAAATTGTGCATGTCACTGAATTCCTTCTGTCTGTTGCCTGGCACTGTGTGGATCTGACAGCTGAGTACCTCAGGCCCCTTTGCCTGTCTCCATACACTGGCTTGGCTCAATAGAGAGTGTCGGGTCTGTTTTTAAGTGTCCAAGTAAATATATAATTTCTAGGCCAGAGTCAGCAGGGGTACTTACCCTCAGCTTATTTTTTAAGAGATGTCTTATACCATTATCTTTTTAAAGGTACTTAGATAATAATAAAATAAAATAGATTTGAATCTGCAAAAAAATGATGAGAAAGAAAGAATTAAAAAGTAATACAATATGCATATTATTTACACAATAAAATCCATGGCACTTTCAATTTTTATATTTTTTGATTGTCTACACTTTTGATTATTTTGTTATAAACCTCAATTTTATAATAGTTTCACTAGAGATAAGAAAGAAAAGACATCCCTTCTGGCATATTTGGTTAAAATTTGTTACTTGTTATCAAAATATTAGCAAGGTCATCAGAAGTTCACCACCCATGATTTGTAATGCCTACACATTTTTAGTTTGTAAGTAATGTCTACACATTGTCAAGGCTTAAAAAAATTCTGCCCAATTTCTTTGATAAAATGAACACTTCAGGACATTCGGCTAGCTCTTGTGACATGATTAACATCAAGCACTCTGAATTGAGGTTTTGTAAACTATTCCATTAGCGGGTGCTCTCCTGGGGAGGGCTCCCAGACTGAAGAAAAAGAGAGGGAGTTGAGCAAGCATTCATCATTGCTCTCTGCCATGGGACTGTGGTTGCCACGTGACCAGCTGCTCCTGCTCCTGTGGCTGCCCTTACCTTGTGTCCTCGAGAAGTGTGAGTCAAAGTAATCCTTTCTTCCCTTAAGTTGCTGTGGTCAGTGTCCTGTCACACTCACAAGACAAGCAACTATTCCAACAGTTATTGGCAGTTGAATTTCTACACATTTAACAGATTAGGCAGAAAACCATTTGAAAATGCCTGTCTGTATAGATTCAATGTATGATTTGGGGTATTAAAGCAGTGAGTTTAGTATCTCACTCTGGAAAGTTTTTATGGCCTTATGAGCGTGCTTGAATGTTCTGTGCTTATTTGATTCATCTATATGATTGAGAGAGCAACAGCTTATCAAACCCCACACAATCTAACAGAGTGGCCCTATTTGTATTATTTCCTAGCTGGATTCTGTCAGTAACATGCACAAGGATAACTTAAAATTGTCCTATATTCAAATTGAATATGACATGGAAAAGAAGTGAACGATCGGGAGCCATGTCCCGCCAAGTGATATCCCAAATAAAGTTCTTAGTGAAGGGCTCTAACTAAACAAAGGAGTAAATGGCTTCTTCCCCACTTACACTACATACAGACAAATATAGTCCATGTTCTTGGAGACACCAGCAGTGGGTGGAAACCTGGAAGGCACCACACTCGGAATTGAAGACAGAGGTTCCAAGTGTAACAGGTTGGGCGTTGAGTATCTGCCTGGGTTCTGCACTAATTCAGCTTGCTGCAGACACTTTTTGTACCTCTATATTCCTTACTATACGATACCTCAATGTTAGAAAAATCAGTGTTTCAAATGCTTGATTTTTGAGTTACTCATTTATATCCAAGGAAACACGGGCCAGTTGCCTCACACATATGAAGAGAGTTCCTTGGAAGACTGATTTCATGAATTTAGAAGAAGCAATCCCCTCCTTATCACCCCTCAGCATGACAATCTCAGCAAAGTTTCTTTACTGTGCCTGGGTGTTGGTCCTGAAAACACTGCCTAACTGAAGTTCCTTCCCTAAATTATTTTTAAAAGAGCTGCCATTGCTTTCTGTTCTGTGGTTATGAAATCCAGAGGCGATCTACCAGCCCCTGCTTCTCACATTCCGAGAAACCTGAACTTGTTTCCAAGGACAACAATCTGGTATTTACAAGAACAATCCAGCAGGTCACAGGCAGAGCGCAGTAAGCGCTGGGATCAAACGCCCACACTGCTAGACTTGTGGTCTACCCTTTTAGTTTACTTTGCAGAAGTTGCTGGGGGGCGGAGCATCTAGCGATCCTGATTTCCTAAACCGATTTTCAACTTCCTTTTGAGGCAAGTCTGTCCCTGCAGTAACCACAGTTCTTAGCAGGGGAGAACTGGATGGTGCTGAACTTCTCTGCGTCTCAGAAAGATCCAAACCATGAGACTATCAGCAAGAATTATTTGGCTTGTATTATGGACTGTTTGTGTAGCAGAAGGTAAGTTTAAAACAGATAGCCTTTCTCCCTTCTGGCAGAGCTGCATTATAAAACATTTGCAGATAATATTTCTCATAGCAATCATTCAAATGAAGTCTAGAAAATGGGAAGTAATTCCTGGTCTGTAGCTTAATGGCTTTTGGTGGTAAGTTTAAAAACTGCAAGCAGTTCATTTGGCTGCCATAATTGATGGTTCATCCTAATGTAAAACTCCAGACAGTGCTTAAAACATGTTTGTGCGATCCATAATTCGGCAGAGTCATTTAACTTGTAGTTAACTCATAATACGAACCCTGCCTTTGCATGAGTATCCCTGAAATACTTCATGCAAAACTAGTAAAAAAATGTAAATATTTATACTTAATGAAAACTTTTACAAGTGTTTTAGGGAGTGGATTTATTTCAGGCATAATTCTAACACTTCCTAAAAACATCACTTAGAACTGATACTGCCACGGCTTTAAAAGGTTTGTACATAAGAACTGCATGTATGAGAATTAAAAAGATTATAAAATTTGACACATAACCTGCATATAATATTTGTGAGATCTGATTTATTTGGTTTCTTTTTTTCCCTGTGAGTATGTAGGGAACATATCGCTTGTGGAAGGCATTTGTGGACTGGGTAATGTGATTATTGGCGCTCTTCCCCCTTGTCGGTAACAGAAGCTCTGACTATCATTCAGTTCAATTCTCCCAAAAGTGTTCACTTTATCCAAGGAAGGGGTTTACTTTCCTAGTTCATAATAGTAACTAGTGAAATGATAAACACTCAATTAGCTTTTCTTTTTGTTCTGGTTTTTTTTTTTTTTTTTTAAATAGGGTGTCACTACTACTGCATAATTTGTCCTTGAACTCACTGTAGTCCTCCTGTGTCATGCTGAGGTTACAGGTGTGAGCAATGGCCATATCTGACTTGGCATTTGTTATATCTAGTGAATAACATGATGTTAATCATTTCCCCAGATGTTTCACTTAGCCAGCACTTTGCAATTTGAGCTTTTGCTGCAGCCTCTCCTCACTGGGGAATATTAACAAGCCAGCTCTAACTGCATACTTAACAACCCAGATAAGAAAGGCAGACATGGTTTCTCAGTTATATCTTTTGGTAGAGTCCTAAAAAATATTTACGTGTGTTTAGTATACTTTTTGAAAGAGTGAACTTCTTCATCTATATTTTCTAATACTATTATTTGAATTTTAGCTTATAAGTCTTATATTCAGACACCTTGTAGACTAAGGCAGTCATTTCCTTATATATGAAAATATAAGTATTATTGAGGTGAAATATGATTATATTAGCCAAGAGTTCTAAAGCAGTGTTGATATTATTAAACATAACTCAACCTTTTTTGTCATAAGTCAATGCTTTTGATTTATTTTAATGTTCCACTTTCATACTACTTGCTGAGAGATTTTTAAAGACATATATTATGAAAGAAAGATCTATTTTATTTCTAGCTAATTTTTAAGCCTTAAGAAATGATACAAGTGAAATTAAGCTCTTTACATAATTACAAAGTGGAATTTTCAATATTAAAAGGAAGTGCCATGAAGTTTACATGATAATTTAATGTTAATGATTTAAAATTTTCACTTATATCATGGATTCCAGCTGATTTTCCTGTTATTGTTGGATTTGAATTTTCATCGATATGTATTCAAATGTGGTGCCAGTTCTTGCTGATGAGTTGGGCAGATGCACCATACACATTACCATTTCAAGGGCTGTACAGTCAGAGATGAAGCCGGAGTTTAGTATTTAAACAGTATGTAAGGTAACCTCGTAATATCCACAAGGTGCACATAATGCAGAAACAGATACGAGAAGTTCCATGGATTTTCAGTAGACACAGAACTGCCTCTTTATTCTTAGCTTGGCTGGTAGCCTGTGTCTGTCTCAAATGTAAACAATTTGAACAGACTATCCACTTAACAGGAATTTCACCCTGCAGGATAGCTTGGATCAATTAAAAATAGTTACATATGCACTTGAATATTTGCTTCTGTTTCTATTCCCCACATCAGACACTGGGTAGTGGGCTGATTAAAAAATGGTTGTGAAATGCTATCGTAATAGACTTTCCTAAGCCGGGAAGAAAATGCAAGCATTTCATAAATCTTTTCTGCCCCGATAGAGATCAACATTCTTCCAAAAACTGATGGTAACTAGCAGGTGAGCTGGACACGTTAATGAACTCTCTGGCCACAGAATCTGGCTACTTGAGTTTTAAATCCACGGGACCCACCTGGTGAAAGGAAGAAAACCACCTCCTCAGACCATGCTCCAGTTTCCACGTGCAGGCATGGCAACTGGATATTACATGTGCCCATATTTGAAAAAAAAAAAAAAAAAAACAACTTTAAGAAAAAATTTTTTAAAAGGAAGCACTGTGAGCCCAGCTTTCCTTTTGTCTTTCCTTTTCCATATGTCAAGGGCTTCCTAATACCTTTTTAGTGCAGTTCCTGCCTGTGTTCACACTCCTAGCTGCTAGGAACAGTAAATGCTGCTTCTTGCAAAATCACACGCTGTTCAGAATTGGGTCAGATTTACAGGACAACCTGTAACGTAAGAGTTCCTCAGTCAAGCTGTGTAATTTCAGTTCTGGGGAATGGATTATACCCAAGCTTTCCAAGCGCACATTTTACTCTCACAATTGGATATTGTATGAAATTAGGCCGCAGCCCAGAATTGCTGAAATGAACCAATTAAACCTGTGCTGAAACACAACCAAATAACCACTGTGTGCTTTCTGGGGAGATAAGTGTTCTTTAATCCTGGAGGTTTAAAGGACAAAAAAAAATGTCCTTTCAGGCTTAGAGATTTTAATCATAGAATGGAGAATTTGTTTAATTCTATATTATGTTGTTTTAAGTGTAAGGTGTTTCCAAACTTAGTTCGACTCTGATGTGGAAAAACTGGTGTTATATATATTAATTATGAATTAATAACAGTTACTCTTTGGGGAGTTGAAGGAAAAGTTATTTATGCTTTTATTTCAAATGCAACGATATAATGTTAAAAAGTCAAATGATATGTTGTAAAATATTTCTGCCTTTTCTTAAGAGAAAGAATTTATATGGAAAGCGCTCTTACTTTTTCCTGCACTCTATGTCCAAAGTTGAAGGCAACTTATAGTATAGGGTTCACCACATCTTTTTATTATTATTATTATTATTATTATTATTATTATTTATTTTACAACACCATTCAGTTTCACATAATAGCCACAGATTCCCCTGCTCTCCCCCTCCCGCCCCCTCCCCCTCCCCCCAGCCCACCCCCAATTCCCACCTCCTCCAGATCAAGGTCTCCCCCGAGGGCCGGGATCGACCTGATAGACTCAGTCCAGGCAGGTCCAGTCGTCCCCCCCACCCCCACCCCCACCCCGCAGACCAAGCCACATCTTAACTGAAAACCACATCTGCCACTGTTCCTCTAGCCTTAGCTAGACTGAACACCAGAGTTTCCCGTGCCCCAAGAGACTCAGTGAAGAAGGACGAAACAAGTTACAATACAGAAGCGTTACACGGAGTGGGTATCATGGCATGCAGTATTGTATGAACAGAGTTCTGTGACTGGTTTCACAGCTGTGCTTTCTGTCTTCACCTCACTTCAGCTCTTTGAGAGAGAGTCTCACCTTATGGGCCAAGCTGGCCTTGCACTCCTTGTCTTCCAGCCTCAGCCTCCCAAGCACTGGAATTCAACACCAAGAGCCATCTGCTCAGGTTTTCTGTTACCCTCTCTCAACTAAATTCACAGGGATAGCTCGTCCTTCTTTATAAGAATGGGAAAAAATTCTTTTAAATGTCAGATGGTCAAAAACCTTCTGAACGAGCAATCAACAATTTCCCTTTCCATGAAAAAAAATATTCATTAAAAGAGAAAAAGACCAGCCTTTAAAACTTACATAAGAGTAACATTATACAGACTGAACAGGTTGTATTTACTAATATATATATATATATATATATATATATATATATGCAGGTAATAACAATTATGAAAATAAGAGGCCATGAATTTGAAAAAGAGCAAGGAGGGGAATATAGGAGATTTAGGAGGGACAAAAGGAAATGGGGGAAATGATGTAATTATATTATAATTAAAAGAAATAATAGTAAAAAAGAAATAGGAATTTCTGTAGTAAATTAAAAAATAATGTGGATTTACATGGTAAAAATATGTGTCTACACACAATCTGCTGTGGTTTAGTTTACACATGAAACCAATCTTAGCATCTTGCCTTTATGTCCTTTATCACACCAAAGGTGTGTAAACCTGTTATATGATAAGCCAGGACTTACATGTATGTACCTTGTAAACATTTCTTTTATTTCAAATTATAATGGATAGTTGGATTTACTGCTGCAGTCTCAACTATGAATATCATAATAGTTTCAGAGCCGGTAGAAGACAACTTAAAAGTTCTGAAGTCACTCATCCTTGGTATTTGTTTGGCCTTCTTGTTTAGGGCAAAAGAGACAGAATTCACAACTACAACCAAAGCACCCATTGCAAATAAGATATTCCCTTTCCACTTGCAAAGTCATCACTTTATAATCACGCAAACAGCACAAGCCATATTTCAGTTGTTCTCTTTCTCCCTAGAGCCTCCCTCTGTTGAATCTGAGAATTGGAACAAACGAGAAGTAGTCTTTTTATCACAATCCTTGGAAGCAATACATGGAGAGACTTCCACATTTCCCTAGGGAAAGTGGCTGGATTAAAGAATCAGGATTGTGGCATAGAAATTCTTCCTTGAGCCTTGAGTTTAGAATTTTCAGATGGAGAGTCTACAGAGATGAGGTCAGGAAAACATGCATCCTGTGTGATAAGATTCCCTGCACAGTCTAGACATTTACTCAGCTCCTCAGTGGTAGTCCCCCATGCCCCAGGGGCCAGAGTTCCAGTTATGCCGCCTTCTGTCACATTTGCTTCTTCTCAAGTCCACCCTAACGAAGTATGTGAACGTTATAGATCTTTATGCAAACTACAA